TGGAGAGGGTTTCATATTGTTTCCTATTCAGCATAGCAATAAACCCAATAGTAGTCACATTCAACTGGACTTGCTCTGTAATGTTGAAGCTTTTGTAGCTTCCCCAAGCCACTTCTTCCGTTGTAATGAGTGACCTGGAGAAGCTACAAAATGTCTTCAACATTACAGAACAAGTGTAGGTGAAAGTGACTAACTACTACTAGATATACCATGACCTGGATAAATACCGTGTTTCCCCGAAAATAAGACACTGTCTTATATTTTTTTTGGCTGAAAAAAACACGCTAGGTCTTATTTTTTAAATGTCCAGGTGTGGACAGGGTTGTGCAGAGGTGAGCTGCAGGCAGTTGTGGATGAGGGTTACTATAGAGAGGGCCGGTTGATGACAGTTGTGAGCTGCAGTCAGGTGTTGCAGGGGTGACTTGACAGGTGAGTTTCAGACAGGGTGCAGATATGAGCCACAGACAGGGTGAAGGGGTGAGTTGCAAACGGGGAATGCGGAGGTGAGCTGTGGCCAGAGGGTGCAGAGGTGAGCTGTGGCCAGGGGGGTGCAGAGGTGAGCTGTGGCCAGGGAATGCAGAGCTGAGCTGTGGCTGGGGGGTGCAAAGGTGGGTTACAACTCAGCTCACCTCTGCACCCCCCCAGGCGGAGCTCACCTATGCACCCTGTCTGCAACTCACCTGAGTCAATTTACCTCTGCAACACCTGACTGCAGCTCACCTTTACACACACACCCTCCCCCTCCATTTGCAAAACACAGCTGTCAGCAGCCAGCCCCTCTCTATAGTAACTCCCGTTTTGGGTCCTATCTTCCCACACAGTGCACCAAGCGCACTTACTCACCGCTCCACCTCTTCCCCACTGGTCGGTGATCACCCCTGGGACATCAGCTTCCATGCATTAGGCTGCAGGAGGAGATGTCCCACCCCTAAACACACTGCATACTGTACCCACAGATATCTGTTCCTTCCCTGTTCTACAGTGAGTACAGAGGTAGGGAGGTTCTGTGGGAGCGGATGGTGCTGTCACTTCAGCCGCGCTTCTGTGTTTTATAAGAGACAGTAGATATGGGTGTGTGCAGGGCCAGTGCCGGAGGTGGCAGAATGGCGTTCCGCCATGTTCCGGCTGAAAAAAAGCCCTGATCTCAACTAGGTCTAATTTTCGGGGTAAGTCTTATACTTTAGCAATTCCCAAAAGAAGCACTAGGTCTTATTTTCGGGGTAGGTCTTATTTTAGGGGAAACAGGGTAAGAGCCTTCAGAGACATTGCAATAAAACCTTTTTGTTATGGCAGACTAAAGAGCAGGTATTTTACACTTTTGAACGTGAATGGCTTTAACAATTTGCTGATATCTAGACAGCAGAATGTAATAGTGGGTATCAGCCAAGAGAAGGCTGGCTAGGGGGAAGAAGGGCCATTATTGTGGGTAGACGCTGTGTCGGGGTCTATTTCACTGCAAGGCTATATTTCAATGCAATTTATCAGGACAGTCAAAAGACTTCCAGGAAAATAAACTTAAAGAGGTTGTAAGGCTTATATATTTGTAAAATAACAAACCTGTTATGCTTACATGCTCTGTGCCATGGTATTGCACAGATTGGCCCCTTCTGGGGTCCCCTGCCAGCAATCTTGGCTCCTCCTCTTCTTGGTGCACCACCATAGGAAGATGCTTCCTATGAGGGCGCACCTGGGGGCTCACTTCCGAGCTGTGCTGTGTAACTCTATAGGCACTCTCAGCTTGGCGTGGCTCCTGGTGCTCTCAGCCAAGCTTGTGAGAGCATGAAGAAGGGAGAGAACAGATGAAGTCGGGCACAGCACTGGATCGATACAGGACTCAGGTAAGTATTAAGGGAGGGGTGCACAGAAAGTAGTAGAGCATTTTTTACCCTAATGCAGGGAATGTAGAAAAATATTACTTTTAGAACCACTTTACTGTGGCCATAAACCATTCGAAATTGTCCCCTCTCAACACGATTTCTGTTAAAGGGATAGGCTGGAAAACGTTTCTCGATCAGCAGTGGCAACCAAATGGCTGCAGTCACTAACTGGTGTATTCAAACAGTCAGAACACAAGGGCCCGATGGGGGGATTCCTCCATCCACCTTGTTTGTGTGGATGGAGGAACCTGTGTTTTTTTTTTGTTAAAGCATATGGCCAGCTTTTTGGTATGATTGTGACTATCAAAGGGCTCATTCACACAGGCACTGTGGTTTGTCCAATGTGAATGATGCCTTTGTTTATGTCATGGGTGTCAAACTGGCAGCCCCCCATCTGTTGCCAAACTACAAATCCCATAAAGCATTGCAAGATTGACAGCAACAAGCATGACTCCCAAAGGCAGAGGCATGATGGGACTTGTAGTTTTGCAACAGCTGGAGGGCTGCCAGTTTGACAAATCCTGGTGTATGTGACTGCAGCTGCCTGGAGAAGTATGCAGACAGCCTATATTACTCTAGGGGGACACAGTGGCTGTACCCATTCATAGGTTGCAATTTGCGTTGTGCGGCACAAAACACACACTCTGCATTCCTTCCCCAAATCACCTGTTTATAGTGACCACAATATGATACAATACCAAAATATTATAACTGTGCAATGAGGCCAAACCAGTCTCTGTGGCATTGGCAGCTAATAATTCATACATTCTTGTCATTGGTGTCTATGGGCTTCCACGGTGAAGTAATCTAATTTATATACATGACATAGAAGATTGTAACCTAGTGGGTAGGAAGCTGTGCAACCGAAGATCAAAGTAAACTTTCTGTGAACTTTTGAGGAATCTATTACATACCAGCATGCAACGTGTACAAAGCTACTCAGCAAAAAGACTCTCTTAGCATCTCCAGTTTTAACCATAGTCAAGAGGCTAAATAAAGCCGAGTTTGTAAGTCATTGAGAAGTACAGGCCCGAAACACTGAGCTCATGTATTCCTTAGAGACTGGGACACAGAGAACACCATATGGGTTTCAGTGTAACTGATAGGGACTCCTCAGCTCTCTTTCCTCACATCACATTCGTAGGCATGGTCATGAATACAAGCGCTAGCTGCTCTGGAATCCTGACTCACACATACAAACAGAGACATGAGGCAACTTATCACCATGCTGATATAGTCTATTGATACTACCCTACAGAAAGCTCAATCTAGTCTCCCAAACAAAGTGGGGTTGGTTTACTAAAAGCCATAAAGACTTTTCACTTAGCAAGGGAATTTTCCCCAGAGCTTAGTGAATGTAGTGACGTTTTACTTTGCAAAGAATAATTACATGCAAGGAAGATAACAAAAAAGTAATATACCTATACGTTATTGGACGATGGATATCAGTAGAGCAAAGCCCTGAGGAAAATTAACATTCAAAGTGAAACTTCCCTTGAAAAGTAAACAGTCTATTTTTTCTTTAGTAAGTCAAATCGAATATGTCCTTAAAACTATGTAAGGATATGTAAAGCCATAGTGAACTTTCTTGCCCAGCATTAAAAAAAGAAATAAACAGCTTTGCCAGCAAACTTTGAAGTGGTATGTCCTTCTAATTGTGCTCGGAAGTCCATGATCATATGCATTACAACTGCTTTCACAGAGCAGTCCACTCTAGAGATGGAAATGTTAATCACAGAGCTCCATGCATTAAAGGAAGCAGTGATCCATTAACCGTTACACATTTACTGAGCTCTGCGGCTACAGACTTAACAGCTATTTTGCTGTTTTGGCTAAATAGGAAATATCAGCTCATTTATCAAACTTGATCCACATGCAGGTACTGTTACTATTTCCCACAGCTTCCAAGAGTAAATGATAAAATGTATCTACAGTATATCAAAAACTTGTTCATTTACAGTTTCAATAGGAAATGTTTAACATCCATGCCAGGGTCTTCTTAGATATACCATAGGAACTGATGGAAAATCCCCTCTTTGACAGCTGTAACTGGAACAAGTGTCCCCATTGGAGGTTTTCCCCTCACTTTCCCCAGTTCTGGTGACAACTGCAGCATTTTGAATTTCCCATCATTGTCTATCTTGGAGGGTGAATCTCCATAGCAATAGAAAACTAGCAGCAGGGGTTATAATCCATTTGTACTACAAAAATTAGTTTTGGCTTTATATGTGCTTTAAATATCTAGCAGCATCAAATCTTCCTAAAATGTTTCTTTCAGTCATTTTGTAATACTGTGTTTCTAAACCAAATGGGTCAATGCTGGACAGGTGCAGCCATACACCTACCAAAATCTGAATGATCTAGTCCTTCCACACCACAGTCAAGCTTCTAGATCAAGCAGGAGACAAATAAAACAAATGTGCTTGATGACCAAAAACATACATGTGATGTGATCAAAGGGGATAACTATCAGGCAGGAATATCATGCGGTTCTAATAAAAATGCCAAATATTATCAAATTAGGGCTAAAACAACCCGATACTCTATAATCGCCATGTTAACTGTCACCTAACCCAAGAAGATTAGAGGCAGATCAAAGAACTGTGGAATCAGTCTAGCATTACGATGTTCCACTACTGATCTCTTGGATTAACTTCTATATACCACCATTGGAATGTTTAACTGGTAACACGTGGGCCAAGCCTGAAAGCAAGACCCTCCAAGGCTTCTGCTCATTATCTCTATAAACTATTGACACTCCAAACTCGATTCAGCTCATAAACATACAACTAGTACACGTGGAACCTTTATAAATATACTTGTATCAAGTTGCATTAGCATTTGAAAGATAACAGTGCTGAAGAAGTAGCGGATGAATATAGAGTAATTTAAAGCGGAATAACAACTCATAACATAAAAAAATATGTTCTTTAGCAAGGAACATACATTCCACATTAATCATTATGATGCCAAAATGAGTGTGTACTGTAACTTTCCTCCAGCATTGTTCCTAATTCTTCTAGGTGGAGGCTGCCATTTTGTTGAAGGCCAGAACCCCTGAACAGCAGTAAATCTTTAGGCTGTCAGCAGATCGGCCTCTATATTTTCAGCACAGCGCTGAAAAATAAAGAGCAATTGAGCATGTGCAGAGCAGGGTGAGACTAGATTTTAAACAATTTAGGCATTTATTTTTAATGTTTTACATAGCTATACCTGCAACAGGAGCCAGCATGAAGTGATATAACAGGACTTCATTTTCTGACTAAAGTTCCACTTTCATTTTGTCTTAATTTTTCAGAAGGGTCATTTCACACCAGGGGCACAGACTGAAATGTTGAGGGACTGGTAGGATACCAAGGTGGCCACTTTTCTAAGACTTATGCATACTTTTTAACTGAACAATATTAGATTTATCTAAAAACTATAATGTCACATTATGATGTAAAGTTTAATTACATTTTTAATTGTTTATTTAATAGATAGATTGAAAAGTATTAAATTATATAACATTTTAAACCTGTATGATGCACAGAATGTATTATCTATTGAGTAGGACACTCAATAGAAGACCTGGGCACATGCCCTGGATGCCAGGGTCTAGCATCACTCATTTTTAAGTACATTTTGTTTTCAAAAGCAAGACCATCTTGGCTGTTCAATGGGGGCAGCAAATATTCATTTTACAGAACAATCATATAAAAGGTCAAATTTTCATGCTGAAAACTCCTAGTCATCTTGTGGTGACCATCCAGAGCATGGGAGTAAACCCCAGCTCTGATGCCTTACTAAATTGCGCTTGAGTTGGGCATATGAATTTATTTTCTTAAAGTCAACAAAAAAAATTCTCATAGTTACTTGTAACATCCACATATTACAAAACCTCCTATGCAATGTTTACATCTTCCCTGAAGCTATATTTGTTTTTTTTTTAATTCTTGAATTGTTGGTGATATACATATATGGAAAACCCTAACATGAAGTATCACAGCAAATACAGTGTAAACAGTACATCCAGGTACATACTGATAGAATGCATGTACCACCAGGGTAAATCATTAGTATCACCAATAACAGTTTATATGAAATGTGAAAAAATTAGGCAAAAGAGATGGTCCACACTAAATATAAATACAGCTCCTCCCAGGCCCAATAGGAATGGTAACTATAAAGTTCCTGAACCACAGTGTGTAGGAAGGGGATATGCTGTAGATTAGGGTGTAGGGAGAAATAAGTAGCTGAAGGGGGGGGGTGACTATAAGGAGATGAGGGAGCAGGAGAGGCAGAATATAGGGGCAGGAAGAAGAGATGGGGGTGTGAGGGAGTCTGCTCTACACAGGATCCTAGGATGACCCAACTGCATCGAAATCCCATGTCTCATTAGGTGAGATCAGAAAGGTCAATAGGACCTGATGGTTTCCTTTGATTTAAAGCGGTAGTAAACTTTGCTTTGTGACTTTTACCTACAGAAAAGCTTATAATAAAATGCACTGTTTAGGAGATAATGTACTTGTTTGGCAGCAGGTGACATCACCGGATGGAGCCAATGAACCTGGAAGGAAGGTTGGGTGAAGATGGAAGCCCTGTCCGTGGTGGCAGTGCTCCCCTGCAGGGCTTCATTTTGAGTTAAGTCTTTCATAACATGCTAGTATTCTGTGCATACTAGCACATTATGATACTACCTCAAAGGGGGACTGGACCTTTTTTTTTGTGTAATGACTTTACTACCGCTATAAGAAGAGCAATCTCCTGTACGCTGTCTCTGTGTAACACAATTTCTTTTTATTAAACAGAACTACACTGAAACTTTCTCACGTACCGCAAAGCAGGTTTCACTTCTGGAATTAATATTAGTGTGAGTCACCACTATGCACACTATAAATAGATAATAATTAACATATAATAAGGTACCTTTGTGTTTTAAAAACAGAAATGGATGTTGATGTGACATCTGCTGGGGGGGGGTAACTAAAATAACCATCGTTAGAAAACTGAATTAAGCTCTAATTCTGCCCAGAATGACATCTTCTTCTAGGAAAACTGCAAGGTTTAAAATTGTACTGTCTGAGCCCAAGAACATAAAAATTATATACCATTCATGGACAGCAAATGTGTTGGCTATGGCGTTCTATTCTGAACAGAAAAGATACCAGTGGGTATAGTCCCACTGAGAAAAGAGGTCCTTTAGGAGAACAATCTGCGGCTTTTAGCCACAGATTGTTCTCCTGAGGACCTCTTTTCTCAGTGGGACTATGCCCACTGGTATCTTTTCTATTACATGCATCTGGTCCTGAGAGCACCACCTTTCAATTTTGGGTGAGTCGGCATCATCTACAAACTTATTGTCCATTAAAATCTTTCTTTGCTTGGGGATCCAGATTTTAGTTGCTTTTTTGTGATAATTGTTCTATTCTGAACATACTGCATATACACAGCTAAAGAGGGGTTTTCTTTTTATTGAGTGTTCCTCTGGATTATCTATGTGTTCTGCATGTGGAGCTTTCCTATTTATTTTTTTCTATTGGTTGAAATAGGTGAACTTGTGTCTTTTTTCAACCTATGTAACTGTTATCATTGCATTTAGCTTTCTATGTTACATCTGAGGGTTGGAACATAATATAAAGTCAATCCAGGCCTTTTTCTAAACTGCAATTTTGATATCTCTATATAGTTAATGAATGCAAATCAAATGATTAAGCGATAGGACTTTGTATTTGCTTTTAGGTTTAGTCATTGAGCAGTCATAGCATTCAGGATACATGCACAGGTGTACAGCACAATTCAGTTTCAACAAACGCATGGTGTGTTGATGACATTCAGGCTTTTATTGTAGCACCTGACATCAGTACAGTTACGACTGGCAATCTTTAGAAATGTGTGGTATTGTATTACACAACATCGCTAGCATAAAAGTGAAACTCAAGTTTTCCATTGAGCTAAGCTGAGAACAAGAAGGAATGTAGAAACTCCCCGATTTGCTGTTTGAAATGAACACAGTAAATTAGCCCTGTGTTAAAGTGTTACTAAACCCACCACAGTAAAATCAGCCTGTATATGCAGTAAAGCATGTTTGTTATACTCACTGTGGAACCTAAGGGGTCAATCCTCCATATTGTGCAAAAAAGGCTGTTTGATCCTGACTTTTCTGATCATTCTTTCTTCCACAGTCCCCAATCCGTCTGCTGATAGAACAGAGCCCTAGGAGACACTCTGCACATGCTCAGTTTGGTGTGTATTGCTAGACAGTTTGGTTTTTTTTGGGAGGGAGAGTGCATGTGATCAGCACAGGGCCAATCAGCCCTTTCCAGACAGAGGGTCAGAGGTTATGCCGCCTTATAGGACAGTCAGAGGAGAATGAAAACTCCTCCTATAAGATTAAGCAGCGCTCAGCTGGACACTGAAAGAAGTCACAAGACTGCTATATACTGCTGATGAGAAAAGGTATTTATCAGTTTATATTTACTAAAATAATTGCACTTCCATGTTGTGTGTACCGTGGGAGACTAGTTATAGTGAATGCAGGGTCAGGGGTTTAGTAACACGTTAAAGCAGCCCTTTATTCATTTTTGCGGCGTCCTCTTTCTTGCCTCCTCCCAAGCCCTCTTTCACATTAGAAAAAAAAAAAAAACATATTATTTCAAAACTACAAATTTTTTTTTTACTTCTGAAAGCCTAGGCCAGGATGACATCACAACCTGAGACCCCCCCCCTCCCCACATGTACAGACATGCTGTGGGTCTCTGCTAGTTCTTTGGCAGAGACCCCTCAGGATGTGTGCACATGCACGACATCTTGCAAAATTCCACCTGGAATATGTGACGTAGCCATCCCAGGAGCTATTTGTGGAATTATTGGTGTGCACTGACACACCACGAGGGTCTCTGCCAGAGAACTGACCAAGACTCATGGTGTGTTTACACATGCAAAGGAGCTGTGATGTCATGCTGGCTTAGGCCAGGATTTCAGAAGTAAAAAAGAAAAATTTAAAAAAGTTTTTAACTTTTTGAAACATGCAGCATATATGTATTTTGTGCAGGGAGTCTGGCGCATGGACATATATGTTGTTCGCATCTCACTTACAGAGTGTATCAGATCATAATTAAAGATGGTCTAGTAAGTGTTTATTTTGACAGGGGCAAGTGTTAGGAATTTTTATTTTTTTGGAGGAGTTTAGAGTGAAGTTCCTCTTTAAAACCTATTCCAGCTACATTATATTTGTACAATAGTTCTGATTTACCCATTACTGTTAAAGTGTATTTACCCTGGATATGCAAATATCGTGTTCCAATGTCTAGAAGAAATGTATCATTAGGTTTCTGAAACAATGACAAACTGACAAACATAAAGCATGACAATCTCATACAGTTTAATGTGAATTCTGTTATTTACTCTATAATAAGGACATACAGTATGTTTAAAATAAAAACAGCTATACAGCCATCTATTAAGGGATCAGATGTCAGATGTACTGACAGTACAGATTACAGTCATCTCCTGGGAAAGCCCAACCACCACCACTCTAAGAGCTGTGCACCCTTCTATCATTACGTCTTAGTGCTTTAAGTTTAGCCATGCCTATTAAGATTTCTTTTATTCAGTGTGCTAAATGAGACAACTCAATAGAGTCCCCCATCCATACATCTAAATATCTATTAACGGATCAGAGGTATTGACAGCACAAAACAAAGCGTCATCTCTTGGGAAAAGCCCAACCACTATCCCTCTAAGAGCTGTACCCTTCCATCAACAGCTCTAACCAGCACGGATGGGGGTGTCTCCCCTGCTGACTATTGTATTCTGTCTGAATACCCAAATACTGCCTGCATCTGATTGGCCGTGGTCACTGTTCAGCCGTGAACACCCCCCCGGCAGATTAAAGTTTGTCGAGCCGGCTGGTGCCGACAAGGCCACTCACATCTGGAATTTGGACATTTCATGCGAAATTGAAGCCGTGTATAGCTGCATAAGACTACCTTTTGTGCTTTACTGCACAGCTGTGACCTCTAGGCAATCCTATGCTAAATGAACTCTGAGCTCAAGCCTTGTAATGCATGTGATCCTGCAGAACTCATTCCTACTTCCATACAGTCACTGTGAACAAATAATGAAGTCTTTTATTACAAGAAAGTAAGTAGTCTTATGGACGCTTGCACATGAC